AATGATATTATCGATGGCATCATTTTTTCTTCATTTTCCGATCTCGTAGATTACTGGTTTTAAGGGATCAGTGTTGAGTGCTGGTGATAACTGAGTTCACTCTGATTCTACACTAGACAGTGTTGATTGTCATGCATACAGTCCACTATTTGGTGCAGACTGAATCCTGGAAAGCCTCCTAAGGTGTGTTCCAAGGTAATTCTACCTCACCTAACATTGCTCATCGAGGAATTAATTAGCTGTATCGATTGACACAGGTAGCCAGGGACAAGTAGCATGCATGAGAAGCCATCGACTTTCTCGTCGACCAATGTTAGCGCTCAGATAAAATTAGAGTGGAAGAGAGTTAGGGATGGTGAAATCAGAACTTGGTGTCTATCCAAGAAGCCTCTGACTGTTGATTTGAATCATGTCAGATGGTTCAGACTGCTTGGCTGGCTAGTGTCCACAAAACGCTGTTTCAGAGTTAAATATGACTTGCTCCAAATTACAAGGAATCAATGTGTCAGTCGATGCAGCCTAATAATTGCTCGATGAGCAATGTTGGGTGAAGTAGAATTACCTTGGAGGCTTCTGTGAATTCAGTCTGCACTAAGCCAATGACTAGACAGATGCATGACAACGGTCACTACCTAGCGACTAAGTGAAGTATGCATTACAGTCCTACAAGAAGTCAGTCGGTAGCCTGAATAGCTCACCGGTAACGTCCCTGACTTCACCATTGGGTGACATCAGTTCCAATCTCAGGAGACATGACTTACTCCAAGATTGCAGATACGTCTCAATGACTGGTGAGTGGCAACAAACACGAAACCTAGGTCTAGGCAGGGCTTTCTGCTGATTACCTCCAACCATCTAGTAGCAATAACTTTGTTTGTCAAGAATAATCTCCAAAACAGAATCGCCTTCTTAAATGTTCTTCACACAGGAAAATCAGATGATAGTATAAGCAGAAATTTGCATAAAGAAAGTAAAGGACAAGAAAATGTACACATTTTAGTAGCTTTCTTCCTATCCAGTACAAAATAAATTTGATAAGGACCCTTACAGCTACATGTTCACAAGATGTAACTTAGGATGGACTTAAAATTGTCTATGACACTTCAATTGAAAATAACTATCTAGTAAAGTTCAATATGAAACACAGCCACAAAAGTTGTAAATAACTGTCCTATATCGGTAAACAAGAAGCCTGTATATATTCGATTGAAATTCATGTGTGATGTACCAGGTGAAATAATAACCAAAAAGTTAAGAAAATCGATTTAAAATAACTTTTAATGCTGATTAGTTTCAGGTCGTGTTTTCCACACGACTAGTTGTAACTCGTCAACTGAAAGACGAAGTACCTAGGCTAGCTACCTATTCATGTATTCTTCAATTCAACTGCTCCTTCGAGCCAGATATATTGGCCGTTGCACTGGAAACTGGGGTCTTCGTGCTCGGGACCATATGTGTAATGGAATCGATAGACAGTTCACCAGTACTAAATCACCTGGTCCAGACAGGCCATAAGTCTTCCACTATTGTGTTTGTATCGCGTACCAAATTAATTATCAGAAGCCTCTAGATACCGAATACTCCAAGCAACAGAGGCTATTGCAATTCGTCTACAAAAACTGAAGTGCTTTGTACAAAAGACACACGTCTACTCTGGCTTGCTGTGAAATTCATGAATACAGTATTGATGTAAATTCTCTTAATAGATAGATCTTTTATCCGCCCTACTAATGTCCCTTTTAGCTTCAATGTAACAAATATCATAACCAGTGACTTTCATAGTTTTAATACTTTTGATGTTCATAAATGTCTAAAATCTCTTCAACCTTCCCAGAGTCTAGGCCCTGATGGTATACCTGCCATTGTCCTAAGGAAATGTGCTGATATTTTAAGTAACCCAATTACGGTTGAAAAAGCTCGGGAATGATGCTATCGTCCATCCGCATCCCTTCGCCACTGCTCTGGAATGCTAAATATCGATGATCATAGGTGCATTATTTTAAAAGGAAACCGAATCGAAATAAAATAAATGCCAATTATGCCCATCCGAGTTAGAAAGACGAAAATAACAACAAGTATACAACTGAAGAAAATTTCACACGAGAACTCATTCACATAGTATTTCACGCTTGGTCATAATATTTTTTACATACAATTCTCTCTTTTGTTCACTTGATTGGTGGTTATCGCATTTGTTTACATTGAAAAACCCGGAACAGGGAGAGGAGAAACACAAAAATCAGTAGGCATGTAACAAGAAATGAAAACTTGTTTCTCGTGATTTCAGAGTTCACTGTCATTTAACTTTTAATAAAATAATAATGCTAAATTATTTGCTTCTGATAAAAATCCTATTTACATCTTGCTCTTTCCAGGTTTCGTGTGTATGTACGCGTGTATGTTTGTGTGGAGGGGTTTTCAGCCATATTTCAAATACGGCGCGACAAAAAATTTACAATTTATGGTTGCACAGATAAAAACAAAACGCTGTGCATAAGACTAGACAAGAATTCGGTGTGTCACGGTGTACGAGATTATGTAGGCTTCACGTTGTTCAAGATATGTACACAGACGTGGATCGGCAAGCGGGAGAGTCAGTCGTTTTAAGCCGCAGTTGATTCTGTTGCTTCTTCAACAAAAGGTTCACCCAATTTCTCCCTGTTCATAAAAAAGACGGAGCATGAAGATAAGAATCAGTAATGTGAATTTGTCATATTAAAGAAGCGAGGAAAAGTTTCTCTTCGACGAAGTCACCAACCAGGCTGTACAGGAAGAGTGGACACGAAAGGTAATAGGATAATCATTATTGGTAGGAATGACGACCAAGCTAAACTTGAAGCACCACTAACTACCAATGGAGTACAACCGCACCACTGACCTTGAATGGTCAAACGAGGGTTATCCAAGTAAGCTGAAGCTTCTATTCCTCTTGATTACAGTCAAATGCCTGTTCTAACGCATTTACGTTGGAAATTTGGTGAAGACCGATCTAGCAGCATGGCTTAGATATGAGGACAGACACACCACCATGTGGAGGTGTGATGACCATGAAAAGCTTCAGCTGATAGGTTGGTGGACTTGTGCATCGTTGTGTAATTTGTCTGAGACGAGTCAGTGTGAGGGAAGGTAAGCTGATGATCCTAATGTTACGTAGGAACATCTCTTGCCAGATCCCATTTTTTAAATATTTTTTAAAAATTTTTGATTACAGCTTGATTCCACACCATATTTTTTGGTACAAATATGGAATTTTCAGCATGTGATATCGGTAGCACAAATTTTGCCGACCGACCACAGATATCAGCTGTGCGTCGGCGGGGGATCAAACCCCGAACCATGTGCATGGTCGGCAAGAGTCCTAACCACTGTGCTACTAACGCACACATTTTGTATATTTGTATTTCCTGGGATTTAAAACTGCCTGTGAGAGATGTAGCTGCTGAAACTGAAAATAGTCCCGTATCAAAAGTTCCAGTGTTACCAGCACTGCAGGGTTATCACATCCTGAAAAATGGAGAGGCTCACTTCCTTACTGGGAAGACAAAGTGTCGTCGACTCCTTAATTATCACTCAGCTCATCCACATGTGTTTGACACTTTTCCATAACATCGAATTTATCCATCTCCAACCTGACTGGCTAACTGCTTCGTACTCTTCAAAATGATTTCATTGCTCGCCAAAAACAAATGTTATCATGCAAGGAGACAATTATTGAATATCTTCTAAAAACGTACCTTCATGTTTAACTCGAATGTTCTTTAAGGTGACTTTTCCGTGTGAATTCTCTATCCCAATGTTCACAGATTATTCTTTCTAAAAGTAAATATTCACAGTACACAACACTGAAAGTTACACGTATTTCATAACTACGAGTCATACAAATTGGTCACTGCAATCATAGATCGAATCATCTCAATTAACCGGAGGTAAGCTATCGTAATGCAATAGCAAATGAAGAAAGTGACGTTTGGTTACAACACTCGTCATATTGTTGACAGTGACATTCGATCATGTGAAAAACTGTGTACAAAATCGCAAAATACACCTTCAAACTGAATTTGCCAGCTACTAGACTTCATAATTTGCATTTATATTAACCGTTTCAATACATCGAGACAGGCTATGAAGATGTAATGGACAAATTAACAATAGGGTCAAATTGAACTTTCAGTTTTCAAAATAACTGTCTACTACACACACACACACACTCAACAAAATAATTGACCGTTGTATTTCACAGCAGTTAACTAAACACCACAAAGATTTAAACAACCTTACAAATATGGAAATGTGAATACCTGGCGATAACTAACCGACTGGTGGACGCGCAGGATTAGTTCAAGTGTATCGCAAGACTCTTATTCTCAGCTAATCGGTCAATATTTGCTATCATTTTAAACGACATCTCAACCTGTCTAAATCACCACCAAACAGGGGAACGCACATCTGGAAATTCCTCTGTATCATTGTCAGTCAGAAATATGCAGTAATAATGCCAACATAGAAATGAAATGCAAATCACCAACAAACTGTGGGATTTGGTACAAAGCTATTGTTGGGAATCAAAGAAGTTTGTCATATCAGACAGACAAACTTGATGAATGTAAGTGTTTGACTTGAGTGACACAGAACACGTCCTTCATGTGCCAGGCAGCCACACACACACACACGACTATTGTGTAAGGCATAAGTATAAAACTTGGGCACTGTTCACATTCTCCACCTAAGAATGTATGTGGTGTAGGTAGGCAATATGAACAAAACAGACTGTACTCTTATGCCACATTCACCTCAATGTCTTTGTTGTCCATCATGTAATCACTCCTCAACAGGTGAGAATGTGTGTCATATGTTAGAAAGAAACTCTCACTGTAAACAAAGCTCATTTCAAAGACCTAACTAAGCCAACAATTGACATTTGCTGACACAAAGTGACACTGAAACTGGATAATCAGGATACAAAACATTCACACTCACTTGTGGCCTCCATTCTCTTTCTGCAGCATATTGACAACTGCCTCACTGTCATTTAAAAGTTGCGTAGCCCAGATACGCCAGTCGCTGTCTCGAGAAACACCATCAGAAAGTGTCGCATTTGACGACGACGACGACGAAGACGATGGATCTGGATCTTGGAATGAAGAAGAAGGTTGAACAATCTCACATACACCAGGTTGGTTACTTTCTAACTTTCTACAGCTCTGACTGTTTTGACGTCTTTCTGTGGATGCACTATTATTATTATTATTTAATTGATTAGACATATCAGCTGCTATATTTTCAGTCGTGAAATTGGAATATTCCTCTGTTCGAACTGACTTAACCAAATCACTGTTGAACAGAAGAAAACATTGGGAACAAATATTGAAATGTAAGCTTGAAATTAATGGTGCAAAAAATAGCTAGTACATTATCTCCACAACCAATGATGATGATGATGATGATGATGATGATGATGATGATGATGATGATGATGATGATGATGATATCCTGTTAACAAAAACACTGACTGTGAGTAGAGTAGAGTTCATTCTGCTCTAATAGCTCACTAGATAAGAAAACACCGAATTCCAAATTCTCTAAACCCTATCTAGAAATAATGAAGACGAAGAGTGAGACAGGGCGAGTGATACGCGGACAAAGCTTCAGCATACGTCTACACCACAGAGATGCGTACGTGAGAAAATATCTCCTCCCATCATCAGTGACACGAAATATTCAATAATTCACTTCACTACAGGTATTTTTATGTACTGCTGGGCTAATCGACCAGCTACATATTTTCCAAGCAATATGTTACACTATCTTTCATACATTCTGAAACCATCTTTCTGTCCACCCTGAATGGCATTCACCTAGCAATCAACTTCAATGAAGCTATTACGACTAGTGGTATGTTCAAAAATACATAGTATTCTTTGTTAATGCAGTATATAACCGTGGGAAATGTATTCTGTCTCTAACATCAAATAGAATCTTCAAATGGATGTATTGTATTCTGTTGCTAATGCCGAATTGAACTGTGGGAATATGTGAGAATAATATTACGTTGGCACACATTGTCTGTATCACACCACCACACCACCACACCACTACTCCACTTAACCACAACGAAGCTAATAAACTAAGCTCCGAATCCGGCTGAAGATGCAATTCACCAATGCATACTCTAGTTGAATTCTTACCTCATAGGCCAAAGAAATCCAAAAATAATAATAATAATAGATCAGTCAACGTTGAAGGGAATGATAGATCAGGGGATTCTTTCTCCATTCACATTTCGTCATTTATTCAGACAGACAAACTTGATGAATGTAAGTGTTTGACTTGAGTGACACAGAACACGTCCTTCATGTGCCAGGCAGCCACACACACACACACGACTATTGTGTAAGGTATAAGTATAAAACTTCGGCACTTTCGTAGACTATAACTCCATTATGGATGGAGTTATTGTGTAAGGGTTGATCATTCTACTACTTCTAATACTACCCAGTAGTAGATGTGGCGGAATTCGAACCCAGGATGTTTCGCCTGAAATCCGAATGTTGTATGAGCCGATGAACCAAGTCGCCATTGTCTGTCTTCAATCGGATATCATCATCATGTCGGCGTTGATGGTGTACTAGGCGTGCCTTCATGTTCGATTCTACGTGTGCGTGCGTGTGTGTGCTTGTACTTGTGCAGCTTATCTTGCAGTTTGACTGAATCGATTAATGCCTTGGGTTCTAGAATGCAGCATTCATTTGAGGCGGTCGTATTTGTGTTGAGGATTGATTCACCTTCGATGATGCTATTATGATTGTGATTGTCACTGCCCATATGATTCTCTTCATCCGAGTGTGTTTATGCGTGTGTGTCTGTGTGTATGTTTGGGACGTGTTGAATTGCTTCACTTTGAATGAAGTAGAAAAGCGGTGATACATATATAAATGTCAAGGTAGTATCATCATCAGTCAACAGAGCATAAATACTGCTCATCACCCGATACCGGTTAACTCACGTCTATATACAACCATTATGAGACATGATTTGTCTATTCAATAGGATGCAAGAGAATAACTACGATGAAGCCTATTTCTAAACTGCCTCAGAACCATCATCCTTTATTCGACAACTAGACTCATCATAGTGATTGATGATTGGGGTTTGTTAATCCACTGAAATATAATCAATTTCTCCCATCACACTGTTTGACAGTTACAAATCTTCCATTCTACTCTTCTGACTTGCTGTGTTTACTTATACATACATACATACATACATACATACTGACTGACTGACGGACTGGCTGTCTGTCTGCCTATCTGTCTATCTCAACAAAGAACTTCTGCACAGCACTGAGTACAGTACTTCAACTTGACACACAACTCACTCCATATACTATACAACGGTAGACAAAGCAACAGAGTAAAAACAGAGACATTCAAACAATTCTGATGGACAGAAATGTACGTGAGAAAGAATAGTAATATGGCAGTGCATGACGGTTTAATGGATCTGGGAGATTAGATTACAACGAGTGAATGCATCACAACGTCTCCGTAGGTATAATGCTGTACAGGGAAATCGGATTGCGCTGCATCAAAATGACGTGAGTATTGTGAATATATATATGTATATGTTTATATATATACATATATATATATATGTATATATATTTAAACACTGACTTATACTTACGATTTATCCAACTCGAAGTTGCTTGGTCTCATACTTGACTCAGCATCGGAGACTTGGAATTTGCCTGGTAAATTACCTGCCGAGTAGGAAAGCAATGGAATTCTTGTGATGACTGTTAGTCCACTACAATACAATATGAAATACAAATGTTTTATAATTGACCAATCTTCAGGGGTCACAGTGTGTTTGTGTGCTCAAAGACAGTTCAATAGCCATTGTGTGAGACGTCTGAAATAACCGGTGGTGAGACTATGCAAAGACAAAGACGGGTAACGCCATCCTTCCCTCTTCCAACGGACCTGCCCAGACAGACCGCACACATACGACACTCTACTGGGACCCAGTCAAGGAGTGATTCTCAAACCCTAATATTCAACGCTATTCCTACACCTGTGAGTCCTCGCTGAGGAATCTCCTGACAGCCTTAAAGTGAATTTCGCAGATCCACCTTGTTGGCCGGGTGAGCTTTAGTGAATAACCAAACACACCCGGGTCTTGTACGCGTGTCTCAGAAATACAACATACATCCATTGCTTGAGATGCCAGAATACTAGCTAATGACGCCTCATGTCCGATCTGGTGAAGGTTCCTGACGTGAAATACTCCAGAGAACAACTACCTGAGGCTGGTTGGTCACACACAGCCTGTCCGAACTGACATTTAGCTTTGGTTTCGCATCAGTGACTCAACGCCAGTCACGGACCACCCTAGGGTAAGTCGGATGTCGAAATCTTCAGACCGACCTATTCTAACCCTCCCTTGTCAGAGTGCACAGGCAGCAGAGCTGGCTGGTTGATTTTTACTTGTGGTTTGAAGAACCCAGAAGATGCTGTCATAAGAACTCGACTTCCGTTACTCGTGAAACAAGACCCGAAAATGACTTTACAAACGGTGACAGCAAAATACCAACGCTTCATCAACTTGAAGTACGACATTGCCATGATGGAGTGCGAACCACGGTCGCCTGAATTCGGTTCAATTAACACAGTGAAAACTCCTTCGATCACCTTTAAGCACACAGCACGCCAGTCTCGAAATTCATCTAAACCTCCGTCAGTCTGCTGGTACTGTGGTTCATGGTATTTTGTCAAGTTTTGTCCTTTCAAGAAACATAAATGCTGCAAGTGTCATCGTTTTCGACATAAACAGGGTTACTGTCCACCACAGAAAAATTCCTCGGTGAGTAACAGAAGAAGTAGTCCCCTCAAGACGAAACAATCTCCTCGGGTACAGACCATTTTCACAACTTACAGAGTCCATTTCACCAACAAACGCAAGTACACTACGCTATCTATTAACAGCAAACCTATTCGTCTTCATTTCGATCTGGCATCAGATGTCACCTTAATTTCCCGAAACACGTGGCGCACACTTGGTTGTCCACAGAAAAGCTTACACTAAGCCGCTAACCGCTTTTAGTCTAGTCCCTACCTAAACAATCTTCCTGCCATCTTCAGACCTGCAGGAACATTAGTTCCAGCCAGTGTAACTTGTTAGGTCAGTGCGATATGCAAGCTCGACCACCATGTCAAGGTGACAACTATCGGCCGGATGTTTGTTCACCTGACTTAAAATTCACACACATTTCCAAGCATAACGTCTGGAATGAATTAATTCCAGTAAACAGTCTGCAATGAATTCCATATCACTTCTCCAAGTAGTGAAGAAGCTTCTGCTTCAAAACGTGAGAACTCACCAGAACTAGTCTCATCATCAGAGGCATACCGTACAAAGCTTTCATGTCTACATGAACTGTCGTCTCGAGACTCGTCCGTTTCCGTCGAAATATCCTCCGGGCTGTTTTGAGACTCCGAAGGACCTTGATTCCGTCCAAGCAAAGAGAAAATTTGCGATGCAATCTTCGATATTTGACGAAACATTGAAATTAACGCTTTCAATGATATAGGGGAGAAAGATAATAGTGATGATAATAATAATATTAGTGACAATGATACTTATAATAACAACAATAATAATAACAATAATATTAATAATGATAATAATAATTGCAATAGAAGTAGTAATAGTTCGTGGACTCACTATCTACAAATCAGCAAGGAAATGAAAAAGTCAAACAATTACTCGGGAGATTTACAACAAGTTCTCGGTGGATGACTAGTGCTAAGAAACGCACACACACACACACACACACTTGGACACACACCCACAACCAAGCTAATCATAACCAAAGTGATTCAATCTTTCTCACTGACAGTTATCACACATTCTTTCTGATGGATACAGAATGATCTGTGGGAGCTGCAAGTATCATCACCGTACGGTTAGTCCACACGAACACTACTGGACGTGAAATTGTAATCTCCGGAAACACAACTGTATTGGAACAGGTGTGCAGCGCAAGCTGAGCGCTTCTTATCACAGTCCATCGGAGACAACTTGATTTTCAGATGAATATCTACAAAGGTGTTAGTTTTAACGAACATTAGGATATGTCTTAGCGCATCTTCGCGAAAAGGAAAGACAATGTAAAAATATTCAGATATCAGGAATTCAGAGTGTGTATGTGGTGGGATAGTTCCAGATTCGGGAGGTTTTGTGTTGGGTTTATTTACGTAAGAAGAAGATGATGACCAATGAACAGTCGATTCACTGTGACAACTCACAGTTCACTCTGCATAGACTGTACT